AGCTTTCTATTGGCGAACAGACGGCGGTGGCGGGCAAGTGGTCAAGTCAAATAACAATGAACAAAAGACAACGCGAATCGAATTGTCGAATCAGATTGGAAAACATAAAAATAAAATTCAATACAAGAAAAATATAAAATATGCTACTTGCGTGCATATTCACAAACACACATATACATATACAATAGTATGAGTAAATATATCTTATCAGCGTCGTTATCAACAACAAAAGCAGCAACGGCAACAATGGCAACAACAGAAACTGAATTAAAGACAGCGGCGTTGGCGGCGATGTTTTGTTTTTGTTCTGCTGCTAATAATAATAACCTCCATAAGAAATACTATAGAGACCAGAGCAAACTTGTTAAGAACTACTTACTTAATTTATGTACTTACGAATTAAGTTTTATTGCAACTACATTACTATATTTGTATATATATTTACAATGTTGCAGTATGCCCTGTTGGTAATTGTTATTTTATTTTAATTTTATTTAGAATAAGTACTAAGTTTAAAAAAAAAACCTTAAACAAATTAGGCGATGTTAATCTAGGGAATCATTCTAATACCCTCTTCATAAATAACTTTCACTTAAACCTTTAATTTTAGGACTCAAGATTAAACATAATTCAATCAACAGCGTTCTTGCAAGCCACCCTCTCGTATGAAATCACACACAATATACATATTTATGTGCTAGTAAACACTTACTGATATCGCATATACACATGCACAAATGTATGTATGTATATCTGCAAGCCATCACACACTGCAAATAACGAGTACAATTGTCTGTTGATTTAATAAATTAACGTCTATTTCTAATTGACAGCACTCAGAGATCGGTAAGTACCGGCCAACATGTGTAGATATAGTTCGAAGCACAATAGCAAGTACAACAACGCATATGTATGTATGCGCCATATTGCCTGCCACATGCAGACGCTGCAGCACTTACGAGTCAAATTGATGTGACAATTTTAAAACGAGCTTAAACTCGCATTTACACGGTTTTTTGCGCTCTTTTTTGTCACTCTATACCACTGTTCGTCTATTTCGCTTAGTTTTGTCTTTATTGTTCTTTGCAATTTTCCAATTTTTCAACGCTTATTTTTGTAGCTGCTTTTTTTTAATTTTTTAACTCATTTAATTAAACGCTCCAACTGTTGTGACCGTTTGGTTCGGAAAGTTTAATTTCGTGGAAGATAAAAATAGAATTACTTTTGTATATATCTAAATGTGTATGTATCAATGTCGTACTGGTTTAAATTGGTGTAAGAATATTTGAAAACGACTAATTGTTGGTGTTGTTCTTGTATGGAATGCATTGACTGTGGTCAGGCAGGGGAATATGAGATACGCTAAAGTAAATAATTTAATATTATATTAAAGAGATAAACGCATATAGTACACAAATATTAAAATAAAATAAAATAAAATAAAATAATATAAAATAAAAAACAATAAAACAAAATAAAATAAAATAAAATAAAATAAAATAAAATAAAATAAAATAAAATAAAAAAAATAAAAATAAAATAAAATAAAATAAATTAAAATAAAATAAAATAAAATAAAATAAAATAAACAAAATAAAACAAAATAAAATAAAATAAAATTAAATTATATAAAATAAAATAAAATAAAATAAAATAAAATAAAATAAAATAAAATAAAATAAAATAACATAAAATGAAGTTACTTCAAATAAAGAGAGTTAAATACAAAATAAAAAAAGTACAATGAAAACAAAAATAAGTAATACAAAGTTAACTTAACTTAGTTGAGAATGGAAAATATTTTGGTGTAAACTACATTTCCTTAGTTTTATTTGTCAAAATGAAATTGGCCTTTCTTCTGTGTATAAAAGTACGGAAATTTGAATAAAGTAAATTTAGCTGTTTCATATTAAGTTTTGTTTTTGAAAATACATTTACATTAATTAAATTAATTAAAAAAAAATTATTAATGTAAAATTTCTCACATCTTTATTGCAAAATAATTAATTCATACATACAAACATTTATTCATGTTACAACCTTAAAATCAACATCATCTCCTATTCGCCCTCATTTTAATCACATTTGCACTATTTGTATACTCATAAAAAATAAAAATAAAATAAAAACAAAAACAAAAAGTAAATAAAAATGCAATCTATGTTCTATAATGTAAACAACACTATTTTAGTACATATTTATGTAGACGACTATAACAAAAACAACATAAAGCTCAAAATAATGTACCAAAAGACCTTCAAGTGCTCACGTTTACACTACTGAAAATAATTTCACTTGGAGTACGTATATAAGAGTACATTCAAAAGTACACACATACATATATGTATATGTGTGTGAGTATGATATTTACATAAGTGTAATAGAAGTGTTTACTTTTTTAATAAGCACAACAGCTGGCTGCTGGCTAAAGGCATATAAACCAATACTCATTCATGCATATACACTTATATACAATATAATACATATACAGCTATTGTATATCCAAACTATTTATCCTGTATATCTATATGCGTCCGCCTTTTCGCCATTTGTTTGTCTATAAATTAGCTTTCGCCATTATCGCCGAGTTTAGTGCGATAATTAAATCTGCATACAAACATACATACACATACATACATATATATGCACGTACAAACTACTATTAGAAGTCTGCGCACATCTCATTTCACATACGGCTTGTCCATGCCTCCGCTCAAATACTTTCGTGGAGCTCACGCACACTTGACGCCACTCGCATGCTGTTAAACGCGGCCAGACGCGGCTTGTTTAGTTTAAGCGAGTTGAATTGCAAAAGCTCACAAAGTTAGCGATTAAATTCTAAGGCGCAGATGCGATTCAGCAGCACGTTTGCTAAAAACATATGTGCGTGTGTATGTACCAATCAAATTATATATGTATATGTGTAATTGTATGAGATCCACTGCAGATTGTTAAGTGGAGATGTGTGTTCCGCACAATAGCCCCAGACAGTAATCAAATAAAATGTTTCACACATTTATAATATATATATAAAACAAACATACAAACATAAGAGATTTTTTATTGTTTCATCATTCTCTCTATTTTTATTATATTTTTAATTATTTTTGTTTTTTTTTACATCATTTGTTTTCATTTCATCTTCGCAAACTATTTTGCCCACTATCAGCAGTACACTGTATGTAAGCTAAAAAAAAAATTAAAATATTTCGCATTCAAGTGGTTAGCCACCCCGCAACACACCAACCAGCCGGACTCCGTTGGCTCTTAATTGGTATGAGTAGCCCCATTTGCGGGCTGATAAGAGTATAGTTTTTAATATTACATATATTTATTTATGAAAAAAAATTATATAATCAGTAATAAATATGTACGCATGTATATGTATGTGCAGAAAACTAGATGACAGTATGGCAATATGGCCTTTATGGCGTCGCGCGGGGACATAAGCTGCACAAAAAGCAACGGCACTTAGCATAGTTAGTGATGTTTGCAGGGCTTAGTACATACACATGTGCAAATGTATACCGACTATATATATATATATTTGTTTGTGTATGTTTTCATTGTTTGCTGTCTGGCTGATTGGTTCAAGTGCCTCCCCAGTAGCTTTTTATTAAACAATTAACGCGTCATGGCGACAGTGTGGTGGGCGAAAACAGACGATGCTTTGGTGGGAGGCTGAATTAACAGCAGCTAATTTTTAATATCTTTATTTTTATATTACTTACAAGCCTGTCTCTGAAGCTGTAATTTAGATAACCTTCCCTACCTCGAAACACAATAACCAATTATGGGTTATTCCATATACGAGGCTAGAGTTTAACCATCAAAAGCAAATCTAGAAATGTTGAGTGCATAGAAAAGGGAAGAAGTTCAAGGAGAGGCTCAGCTTCGAAAGTTCGAAATATTTTTATTTGTTAATTTAATTAATTTAATCATATTTACTTAATTTAATTTATGTCCTATTGACAATAATTTTTCATTTTACCCTATTGTCTTTAATCAAATTTTAATTAAGTATTAATTTGATTTATTTGTGCTTTTTTATTTAATTATATTTATTTTCTATTATTTTTTTAAATTAATTAAAATTAATTTTATTTTATTTTATTTTATTTTATTTTATTTTATTTTTTTTTTTTTATCTGTATCATTTTGAAAAATCAATTCCTCCAACTCTGCCGGCTAACCTGTGTTTTTTTTCCTGCTGCTATCCTGTTCAGCTACTCTGGCATAATGGCAGGAGGATGATACATACATACAAAGATACTTCGTTGATTATGTTTATAAAGCGAGAGTGCATCAAAGGTATGTATGATTATTAAATGCGCCTGCGCTTTAGTCGCACCAGCCGTTACTTTGAAAGAGCGACTCACTTCGAGCGACCCGGCTGATAACAGTTTTGGGAGAAAACAGCTGATTGACCTTGTTGCCGGAAAAAGGTGTTATAGTGTGTATGTACATATGTACATATAAGTGGCAGCTGAGCTGAGTTTGATGCTAAAAATAAATAAGTTCCTAGAAATACATATATATGTATATCTATATATATATATACATCATATAAGGAAGAATAAATATTATCATATTGCTTTGAAGATAAAATTTCAAACACACACATATACATACAAAGCAGCGAGTGGCATAAACATTAAAAATGTGTGCGACGAGCAGCGGTAAAGAGACGAAAATAACTGCAGCGAAGGACAAAACGGCCATTTATACATACAAGCCTGCCTTCAAATAGCATTTACTACAGATATGTGTGTACATATATAGATAAATGCCTGCGTGTATTTATGTATTCCTAAGCAAAATATATGTCTTCTGAAGATTAGTTTTCTAATAAATTATTTGACTGGAATTACGAGCCCTAAAACATCAAAGGTGTGCCTGCTTGTAAGGATATATCTAAGTATTGCCGATATGTATATATATATGTATATGTATGGAAGTACAATATTTCCAAGACAGATAGCAATAAAAAGTAAGATAAATTAAAAATAAAAAGGCTTGCTAGGAAAAAGCCTTTCCAATGAATTAAAAAAATCACTAATAACTTTTATTTTATTTCACCTATTAAAAATTTACAAATTTACCTACATACATAATTTTTTAAATATATTTATTAAATTTCACTTGATCACTTTTCCGCCCTCCCACTCTTATCAATAAAACGTATCCACTTTGGCTATAAAGTCCGTGGCCAACTCCTCATTGATTGCGTCCATAATGCGGTGATCGTCCAGAAAGTTATTGCTCACATCGCGCTCCAGCGATTTATATGAGTCGGCGTTAAGTCGACCCAAAGCGCCCTGATACAATACCTCCATTATGGCTTTGTTCGCGTAAAGCTGCTGCTCACGTTCTAAGCGATGATACAGCGCTACCCAGCTAGCGCCCAAAGCTTGCGCCTCGACCGAAGCTGTGGGTAGGCTGAATGTGCTCTGCGGTAGCGGTGTGGCGTACAAGTGCTGTTGTGTGGGTTGATGCTGTTGTGCAGCTGTTTGTATTTGTATTTGTGTTGTTGTGGCTTCTACTGCTGGCTGTTGCTGCTTGGCTGATTGTGTTGATGATGCGGAAGTTGAGGACGTTTCACTATCACTTTCCGAACTCGTACTTGCCGTTGGCACCTTTTGCGGTTGCCGCTTTGAAAGTTTATTAATCGAATTCTTTTTTCGGCCACGTCTTTCAACCTATGTGGGTAAAAAGCTTAAATATACGTACAAACGAACATACAAAATTGATAAAGCCTCGCTCACTATCACGCTTACCTTTCCCTCACGCTCATCACGCTCTACATCAATATCGAGTACATCATCCAAAAAGTTCATCTCTTTGAAGTAAAACAAGCTGGGCCTATACAAGTCATCACCTTTTCGTTTGCTGTCCTGTATGCGTCGCAGCTCACGACGATAGCACGACCTCAGGCCGTTGATGCGTCGCTTCACATAGTCAATTTGTACATTCGGATCGATTTCGCGCAGTTTATCGCGTAGTTTAACGTAGGCCTCTCGCTTGAGATAGGGTTTCTTGTAGGCCATACTGCGCGTGTCCCAAAGCGCAGGCGAGTTCTCGTAGATCTTTATGAAATCCTTCCAGAATTGTACGCCACCACCCAGGCAGGAGACACTCTGCAGTTCAGTCATTTGCCGTTAAAAAATTATGTGGATTATCTTTACTCTCGGACTGTAAAAGTTATACTAAATAATGTGATAAGACGTGGTACGCGTTGTCACACACGTTTGATGACTGATCTGGGCGAACATTGCTGTACGACGTTGCCACCTGTTGGAAATTTCGGAAAGGGGAAATTTAGGAAACTAAATAATGTTCAAAATCAAAGAATTTGGTGGTGGAATAAAGCTTGTTTGTGGAGCTGGTTTGCGCTGATATAAGTGGTTGATTTTAACGTTTTTATCGATATAAAGAAATTTCTTAGATTCTGGGAAATAAAATATTAAACAAATTAATTTTGCTTTCTTTCGATTGTTGTTAATTTTAAATTCATTTTATTTTATTTGCCTTTTTATTAATTTATTTTCATTATTTTTTGTATTTTCTTTCCATTATATAATATTTTTTTTTTTCTGTTAATGATTCATATTTTTCATTATAAATAAAATAATGTTAGTCATAAATTCCTGATAAAGAGGGTATGGGCTGTCTCCGTTCTAAGGCGTTGCCAAAATGATTGCCAAATATATTTCGGCAAACATTTTTCAGCATTTTTGGCCAATATTCATCAACATTTATCAACTCCCATATGGTCTAGTGGCTAGGATATCTGGCTTTCACCCAGAAGGCCCGGGTTCGATTCTAACTAAATTTTTCATACATTTCATTTATTTCTCATCCCACGCCTAGTATTTTCCCATCAGGCCACACGCGTTCACTAGTCTAAACAATTTCCGCATATTTCACAAAATTTTGTCATTCGCCAGCGGTAAGACTTCAAACAGATCGAACTTGATTAAGGAGATTAAGTTTTGTTTTACATATAACCTCTCTCAAACATGTTGGATGCTTTATCATTTTGAATTGTCTTCGGTTTGACGAGCTCTCGTTCTAACTGATAACGGCCTTGTACTCTGTCGGGCAGTTTCAGGAATTAATAATAAATATTTAAAAATAATATGCATTTTGAGCTCCGGGATGCTGAGTAGAAAGTGTTGATATGCAAATCGTTGTGTCTATGTGACTACGCGCACTTTAGTGTCAAAAGATCAGCGTACACAATTACGTTAGTGATAAGGTAATCTCTACAGCTCGGGAGCATTCCAATTGATGAGGACGCGAGTGAATACAAGTGAGCTGTTCTGTTATTGTAGACAGTACATCTACCAACCCGATCATGTTGGGGAAAAAATTCACGTAACCCAGCAGTATATTTTAGACTATAGTAAATGCGACAGGAATATTAACACTCGCGCTATACATGTGTTGGGTCAGAAAGCACACATCTTGTGACTTACTACGATCCGTTTTGGTCGAAGTTTGTTTCGGCAGTTGATACCACCACAATTCAAGAAATGGATATCTTAATTAAAGGGGTCCTCTTTCTAGAAGACCTTGCCTATGAGGTTAACCTGCTTTTCAGTTCACCTCTGTGTTCTTGTGAATATAAACTCAAACTAGAGAGAGAGAGATTCGGTTCTGCAGAATCACCTCCAGGCCTGTTATTGAAAGTAATGCTTGGTAGCCTAAGAACCCGATAGTAAGGATTTCGGCCTGAAACACTTTACATTAAGCAGACGACATATTTTTCGATGCACTTCTCTCTTTCGGCCATTAGTGCCTTGAGGTGAATAAATATACAAATATATATGGAAGCATCTTTCTTCCTAATTAATCATTTTCCAATAGTTGCTAATTACAATTCCAATCAATCGAAAGACTCAGTCTTCTCTTCATTAGCTATTGGGAACCTTTTCTTTAATCAATATTTAATACCCATCAATACTGACATATATGTGTGTATATGTAAGTCACAGACAGCGCCTATACTCATTACAAATTCGACAATCAAATGACAAGATAGCTGACCTCCGACCGCCGGCCTGTCGACAGGATACAAGATTTGATTACAGCAAAACATTTAATATTCCTTTTAATGAATATTCGTACTTCGTGAGCGCCGTCTACTTGATTAACGCGCATTAGTTTGGCATTCTAACTAAATGAACGTGAGTTCCGAAAGTAGAAATGAATAATTAAGGCGTCGAGAAGACAACAACAACTAACTAGCAGCGACAGCCACTAGAAACCACGCCAGTCAGTGATTAACTTAAAGTGCCTGCTGCAGCCACGACACAACTAATTGGCGTGCACTTGCCACAATTCAGCTCTTAAGAGTGAAATTCAATTTTAATTGTCAAGTGCTCAGTATGTATAGCCATTCCTCCGCCGCTTGACCTGTCGCTGTCGTCCATCCATCCGCCAACTTAAACTCTTCATTTATGCTTTGTCCTCGCCTGTAGGCTCCTTTAGACCTCGGCGGCAAATGCGTTTTTCCCATGAAATATTTTGCATGTCACTGCTGGCCATCACTTTTGGCTTAATTATTAAGGCGCGACCACGAAAATCTGCAACAATAGCCATTCAATAGCGTTGACAATAGATTTTGAGATTTGATAGGCGTCGACGTTTGTCCCCAATCGATTAGGCTTAAAGACCACTAAAAATTTACAGTCAACACTATTCACTCTCTTGGCATTGTGTATTGCGCCAAACAATGGGCAATTGTTGTTGTCTTTTTACTGCTAATTGTTCTTTGATTGTTACTTGCCTTACAACAAAGCGGAACAAAAACAATGCGTATGAACACGTCAGGAGACGCGTTTGCAAATTTGACTAGTCGTTAGACGTGTGTAGGTTGGACTAGCTCTGGATTAGCCGTATGGTGATAAAAGTCTGCGAATACCAAGACGTCACTGATCAAATTAGTTTTCTTTCTGCGCCTTTAACTCCGTACCGTTGGTGCGTTTCACTGACTTTAACAATTTTCTTTTCCGAAATTTACGAAATTTCGTCCTCGATTTTTCTTTGCGCTTGCCTCAAGTTAGATCTGCATCGACATTGACATCGAGCAAGACGATGGACTAGCAGTAGTGCGTATGCTTTAGGCGTCTTATATTGTTGCGGGTCTTCGCTCGCAGAGTGTGAATAGAAGAGCTTGTTCAGTCTAAAGTGACACCTTCTGATATGACTTGTTTTGTTTTTAGGTCACTGACCACTTCTCTTCTATCTTTTTGATGGCTAGAAGTTAAGTGAGATTCATAATCTGTTCATGACCTGTTTGAACGGGTTCGTATAAAAGGGAGAGTTGGTTAGTGTTGTGCGGGGTCTTAATACATGTGGAACATATGTTTGTAGAAAGTCGAATATCGTACAGTTTCCAAATATTAACTGTATATTACTTGAGTCTCGCGAAGAAGCTCGAGCTCTTCGACTGTTCAGGAGGTAGTTGGATTACTGCAAAGCAATTCATATGAAGGGAGTTAATGAAGGATTCGACGGACTCTCCGTGAATACCATTTGAGGGCTGTTGGTGGCATGTCCCTGTCAACGGTTCCATGCTGGCGTACTAAACGGAAAATATACATTCAGGTACTCCCTTCCTGAGCTTGGTTTTGTTTTTGGCAGATGGCATCTCAGCCAATTTAACTTCCAAAACATAATATTATGCGCTTTAATTGGGGTATCTCTCTTGCACTGAACAACAGGAGACATGAGGAGGTATTTGTATCCTCTCCAGCTGCGGTGAAGTTTATGTTCTTTTGGATAATTGCCTTTCAGGCTGCGTGAAATGTTTCTTTGGCTTTTCGACAGGTGCCGCCAACAAGTGGTCCCATCAAATAAGAACACAATTACTATGTGTAGGCTAGAAGATCGCAAGATATGGAGTGATCTGCCATTAGATCCCATTTAAGGGAAGTCGACCTAATCACAGGAAATTTAGGTTTTATAGTTCATAAAGGAGTCCCTCGGAAAGAGTCGCAGCTATCGCCTGTTCGTGTACAACTTATTTTCATTTGTATATGTATGTATGTATGTACATATGTATGCTTATTTCTTACGTAACACACGTTGAACATATGTAAGAGCTTACATATAAAAGTACATATGCATATATATAATTATGTATTCCTTCACACAATCTTAATGCGCATCTATAACAATAGATAAGTAAATACATATTTACTTCCATATGTATATTTCATATGAATGTGCACATTCAGTCCTAAGTACGTGACCATTTTCTTGTTATGCCACATTAACTTAACTTTGCTACTGGAATTTTCTTTCATACGGTTAACACACCAAAGCAGTTAAGGATGGTTGGACACATACATACATACATACATAGGTAGGGACCGAAGAAAGACCTAAGAGTTTTTACCGGTAATTTTAATCGGATTAGTGACGGTATTAAATTGTGAAGCATGAAATCCCACTTACCACGATGCATACCTTATACCTATCATATTATACTTACATACACGTATACATACATATATGGTCGCCTAATTGCACATGTGTATAAGTGGAAACATATTTGTACATGTATGTATGTATACACGTATGTTGGTATATTTGAATGCACACCTCAAGTGCGGATTCTTGTAAGAGCGTGGAAATGCATGCTTGGCTGCCAAATGGCTTGACATATGTAGATAGATACACACATATGTATGTATTGTACATCTGTATGCACATATAAACAAAGGTATGCATTGAAATTAGCAAGCAATAGAGTGACTGCCTTGAGAGGGGAGGAATAAGTCGACGCCTTGTTTTAACAACAATTCCAGTGTTCGCGGTGATTTTTCCAAAAAGGGTTGCATGGAAAATTCTTGACTTTTTAATCCTCAGCGTATTGTGTGCTAAAAATTAATGACGTTCTTGGAAAAAAATTGTAGCGAATGGAATTTTTCATGGAATACATTTCAATTAAGTAAGTAAAGGTAAGAGGACGATATGGAAATTATAATTCGGAATTTCCGTTCGACATCTGTTGGCCTCGTGTCCGAATATAATCTTTTAAATACCGAAAATTGTGAATTTTCTTACTGTAAACAAAGTTTCTTATGAAAAGAAGAGCATATTGCATAAATGTGTGTTCTCGTGTTTAATTATTAATTATTATGGAAATTTCTTTTGAACCAATCTGCTTATAATAAGTCTCCTTAATATTATAGAATTAATCAATAAAATAATAATGAATTTTTTCGTTTAGAAAACAAAGTATTCAATATAATTATTTAGTTAGATTATTTAATTAAGTT